AATACGAAAAAAGCCCACAAAACTCTGTAGCCCTGTTCGGATCGGGCCAAACTTATATATAGGCGGGCTTTACATGTTTTGGATCGGACCGGACCGGGTTAACCCGTTTGACATGCCTATTATGGTTACTTTATTATAATAATAATGTTTTCTCCACCCATGAATTCGACAAATTAATAGGTAAATCTTTGGCTTTCTTCATTTCCTCTTTTTATTCTTCTTCAATCAATGGGTTTTAAAAGCTACAACATAACATTTGTGTTGAATTCAACTTTTGTTTACGTAGGACACTAATCCAATTTTTTGTTTTGTATTGTGGTGTAGCATCGACTGGTAAAATCAAAAAATAATCAGCACAATGGCTTTACAACGAGACGCTTGTCAGGGCTACATAAGGATGCAACTTGTCTAGACGGATAAGATGATGACTGGATGGTCGACAAGTTCAACTTGCTAACTTTACACGAGAGGTAAGTCCATAATGATCTTCTTTTAAAAGTGATCGATCAAGCGGGTGAGGTGAACATAGGAAGATTGAAAAAAGAAAGTTTGTTGGAATTTGGAACCAAACATATAGGAAGCATAGTGGAACAGTGGAAAGAAGATTGAATAGTGAAATGTTGCCCCTTTAAGAGTCTGTTACTATTTGTGTGAGTGAGAATTCAGGATTCTATCAAAACTCAAAAATGAAAACAAATGAGTGTAATGGAACTGTGGTAGCAAAAAAGTCAAATTACACAAGAATACATCTGTATTATGATTGCCCATATACATAATTGAAACATATTTCACCATCTAATAAATGTTGCCATTGTCTCCTTTTTCTCCTTTCCAGTTTTTTTGCAGATTGATATTGTCTACATCTCAAGTCATCGATATTACTATTATATTTTTAAGGTTTTTGGCAAGCTTGGGCTTCGTAATATTTCATTTTCAAAATGAGAACTTGAATGCTATTACTGTTAATGTGAGATCCTACATGTTTTCAATACTACTATACGAAATATTTTCAATTTTATGAAATGTTTGTTAGTTTAACTGGAAGAATAATGTTTTAATATTATAGGTTTTTAACTTTTTCAACTCATTATTTTAGGCTTTGTGGTTTCTACAATTAAAATGTTATATAATTTTTTTTAATCATATGTTAACGTGTTTATGAAGTTAGTAGTTCTAGATATCAGTCATGGTTTAAATTATTCATCAACTCATTAATCTGTGCATATGTAAATATATTAGAAAAGAAATCCGCGTATACACGTGGGTGTTAATCTAGTATAATTTAAACTTACCGATAATTTTAGTCATAATAATAAAAAGTTACCGATAATTTTAGTCATAATAATTAAAAGTTACATATGATAAAAGACATTGTCACAAATAAACAAATAATTTTAAGCTCTAATTAAGATAAATACAAACAACAACAAAATAAAGGAAAAGAGTTTTTAATTTTTCAAGTCAAAGAGTTAACGATATATGCATCGCTTCGACCCAACTCTACTTCTTTAAATCCATCTATATTTTAGTAAGGCTAAAAAAAGATTTAAACACTTATTTTTATCCCAAAATATCTAACAAAACACTATAAAAGAAAGATGAGTATTTTAACAGTTATATATTGCATATTTCAAGTTATTTTCATTCTCGATGTCTTCTCACGAACCATATCCATAATTTGGCAATTGGCAAAGAACAACGAAGATTGTTTACCTTTAGACCACTCCGGCTTACTCTGTTTACCACCCAACTTACTCTGCTTACCACCAGCAAAGTTTTTGCCTGGATTACCAGATTAAACCCACAAAACTACTCTATCAACTCTTCGATCTTGGTGTTTTTAAGGTCTTCGATGTCAGTAAACTCGATCAAGATGTCTTTATCGTTTGTTTCTTCCCAAAATTTATTTCAAAATGTTTTTGTTTACTTTGAGATCTCGACAAAGACAATGGTCTTCATGAATATTTGTAGACGGTGAAGCGCCACTTCTCCGCCACCAATCCCTGTAAAAGATGAGAGTACATTGATTCCCTTTGGTTACATAAGTTGGAGGACTGAAAAATGATACGCCACGTTATCCACCTAAGCCAAGTTCAAGACAAACCATTCAACCACATTAAGCCAATACTAAAATAGTTTTCAAACATCAAATGATCACTGATATATCTATTATGCAAAATATTATTTTGTAGGTTTGATGTGAAGTTACTTAAACAGAATTACCAAGTGGCTTTAATCGCTGTGTCCTACTGATGCCACCACCTCGTATATGATTTATCAGAAAGCCTATAAGATTCTCCATTTCATATGGCTCGAATAGGGCMGCTTTGTTTTTTTACACCCATATAGGAAACACAAACAAAAATTCGTTTTTTCCACAATAAAATTTAATGTGGTCTTCCCCAATTCTTATATAAACTGTTTATCGAGATATTTAATATTTTATGCATATGAAAATATTAAAAAAGATGAATATTTCATATAAACATTTTGAATTTACCAAAAGCTTTGTTCAATCTTTGTGCACATAACCAATGAAACCTCCACTGATGGTTACAAAGTTTTTTGCATCATTATGAAAAAAGGATTGGCGAACAAGGAAGCGATTTTACAAACATAAATGATAACTTAGCATGAAAGTTCAAGTAGAGAATTGATTTGTGCCTTTACCTTCATTTGCTCCTTTTTTATTCACTTTTCTCGGTGGCTCCTTGTATATTTCTCTAAGTATTTTTTTCTTAGAGAAATATGAATTTTGTTTAGGCTCTAACAACTGTTACTAGTATTAATTCTTTTATGATTCTCATTGCCTTATTTGAATATGTTGCATATATGATTTTGATGCTAAGAAGCTCAAGGACTTAAAAACCCTTTCTTAGGACCTTGTGAAGTTACCAGTCGACCCATCTCTCAGGACCTATTGAAATTACAAGTTGAATAGCATAATTTCTTGGGACCGAATCTTTTTTCTTGTCTTGTCTCCACTCTCACAAGTCACTTATCTTATCTCATCATCATTTTGAGATTTCCATTACCAGCTTAAAACAACATCTTAAGACTAACCATTATGTCTTTGTTTGTTGTTTGCAAGATTCTTATGGTAATTATGTTTCCATGTTCTTCAGTCGCTCCACAAGATAACAAGGTAACTCCTTCTTCGTGTTTGTGAATGTCAAGCTGATGTCAAAACATCGTTGATCCTTCACCAGAAACTTATTTACTTTTTGAATTTTCTATTTAGCTACTTCATTCTTGGAATATGTGATTCTTACTGCACGACTCCATCATTTTTCCATGTAACTCCACCATATTTCCTTATAACAACTTTGACGAATTCTATTCTACAAACTTTTACAGAAACTATGATTCTTCCCTCTTTCTCTTTTGACTATGATTCTTCTGGTTTTTTCGTTTTGTCACCTCTAAAACCTTTTATGGTTGTATTGTTTAATTGGAGGCTTTGTTTTTTTTTTTTTGCTTACCCTTACAGTTAGAGCAACTAATTTACCACCGGAGTATGAGAGTGATGAAGAGTTCATTGTTCCGAGACAACAAATCAGGCATCAGTCGCACTGATGTCCCAAATATTCTTACTTAATGCTGAGCCTAAATAACCCTAAGTTGTTAGAATTTTAGAAACTAAGTGAATTATAAAGTTGGATGTGGATAATGTATGTGTATATTATTAATGTTAAAAAGTTT